GAGGGGGTGCGGGGTGGGGGGGGGGGGTGATTGCTCCAAAGATTTCAAAGGGTCAAACTGTAAGGGTCCCCCCCCCCCAAATCAAGTCCACGATGCGGGTGTTTGCACCCGCAGCTTTCAACGAAATCTTGCAGACTCAATTAAAATTAAACGGACGTTTGCAGGTCGGATCCTGGACATCCCGTGCAAAGTGTGCGGTGACCGCAGCTCAGGGAAGCACTACGGTGTTTACGCCTGCGACGGCTGCTCGGGATTCTTCAAGAGGAGCATCCGCAGGAACCGGACTTATGTCTGCAAATCTGGCTCACAGGTGGGAGGCTCGGTTGCTCACTTTTTATTTATCCTTCTGTGCCTTTTTTGTGACTAAAGACATGCTGACTTTAGTACTACTAGTCATTTCTTTTTCTCCTTAATGGATATCGTGAACATTCAATTCAAACCACAGCGGCCACTCTATTAACAGACAAATATCCAAGCCACTGCCAGGTGCATTTATCTCCAGGGAGATGCGTCTGCTGCGGCTGTAAGACTCAGAAAACTATTACAGACTATTAAGCTTTACGCACGGATGCGGGCTTTTACGCACGGGCGTGCGTTGGCCTTTCCCCGCGTTAAGTCGCTGTTGATGAGCACTAATTGTGTCATGCCTGGGCCATTAAGCAGTAAGCTTAAACACCTCGCTGCTGCTACACTGTAATATATCAGGTGTAATCCAATCTAAAGTGATAAGTAGAAGGAGAGGATTTAGGCAGCAGAGGGCGGGATGGAGCACTTATCCCGTGGGATCAGGCAGCGCTGGAGCCGCGGGGGAGTCGAAGATAACTACACCATAATAGCACGATCTTTCACCTGCAGATTGGCCTCCCGGGCAGATAATAGCACACAATGTTCTGTCGTTTACAAGGCAGCAGATTTCGGGCTGTTTTAGATAATCCTCTACTCTGTCTGTGTCTGTGTCTGTGTCCGTGCAGGGCGGCTGTCCCGTAGACAAAACTCACAGAAACCAGTGCAGAGCCTGTCGATTGAAGAAGTGTTTGGAAGTGAACATGAATAAAGACGGTAAAAATGCACACATCATTTTTTTCCCCAAAAAGGGGACACAATAATATGTTTTTTAACATAAAAAAAAAATAAAAAAAAATCGGTGCTTAACAAATGCTTGTTACACTGAGAATGAAGTTAAATTAATGTGGGTCAAATTAACGCTGTAGTTACAGACTATAGTTGGTCTTTCTTTTTCGACTTAGTTGAAAACACACCTTGGAAAACTTGAAAAAGTGCCTTTGACACTGATGTGGGTCAAATGGCAGAAATGCTAATTTATTTTTTGGAATTGTTTACATTGTATTACTATTGTTACAGCGTTAGAAGTCTACTGTATAGAAGTTTGTTTTGTTTTTAAAACGTTTTG